TTTCGGCCGCTTCCTCCGGATTGGACGCTAACGACGACGTCGATGCCGACGGCGTTGGTGCATTCGACGTAGGAGTGGGCGATGGCGCTTGGGCTCGCTTGCTCATGGTTCAAGATCCAATTTATCGGATCCGGATACGAAAGGACACTTCAACTGTACAGAAACGTTACACAACGTTATGGGGTAATTATATGGGTGAATATGATCACTTTGCGGACATACTTGTGCATTGTATCCGGAATTATAACCAATCCGACCCGGGGACATGATTACCAGCCAATTATACTTGCATTATGTTGTTTTTCGAGAACATTTCAGCCAATGGATGTATACATAATTGCTAGGACAAGATCGGACCAGTTCGGACAGATTTTGTCCGAATGGATCACAAAATATGAATATGTGCAATACAAACGCTAGCATTAACACATATTTTCCTGCATATAATATTGTGTTCGGACAATTGGTAGCAATCACTTTGGCATATCATTCTGCATGGGGATCCAAGATCTTGTGCCTGCCAACACGACCAAGGCGAAGGCTACAGCGATCAAGTCGTTTACGCGCTTTGTCACAGAAGAGAATGTAACAATGGAATACATTCATGCACAATTTGCTCTTGACCCTACTGGCGTTGCCATTGAACGTGTGCTTGACAAGTTTGGGTCGTACTTGGCATTCCTCGACACCAAGGGTGGGAAACAGTTCGCTCGGAACACAGTGATGTCGTACTACCGCCACGTCAAGTTCTGGCTGATTGAACTCTACCAACTTAGCGCCGCCGTCTCCGCCAAGCTGTTGAAAATGGGCTCAACCCTCGACCGGTACTGCATGAAACGCAACTCGGCCGGGTTTATCAAGAAGGCCCCAGCGTGCACTAAGGACCACCTCCGTACTCTCATGGTCTACCAGTAGTCAACCGCAAAGAACGCTACCGACTACCAGGATGCCGCTTTGTTGTGCTTGTTATGGTACCTATTTGGCCGTGCGTCGGACCTGTCGTCACTCCAGAAGGAAAACCTAACGGTCAGCGCTGCCAGCGTACTAATCGTGCGATTGATGCGAATGAAGACATCAGATGAACAAAGTTTGTCGTTGTATTACGATGAGAAATTCCTTGGCTGTCCCCTTACCGCAATGGCTGCTGGTGTGGTGATGCAATCGACGCCACATGCCGCCCTCCTTGGTAACTTACCATCCGTTGAGGCGCCAGTACAAGCAGAAGCAATGTCGTCGATCCCCTTAATTGACTTGCTCAACGAACCACTCGGAGCGGTCGTCGGGGTGCAGCCCATGGATGCAGCGGCTACAATGAAAGTGTCAGTTGCAGCTCTTCCCGGAGTCCACAATCACATCAACCGCCTACTGAACCGCATCTGCCAACCAGCTGGAGTCTTAGCTGATTTGACATCCCATTCCTTCCGCCGAGGAGGAGCCCAGTTTGCGAACGGATCGTCGGAGTTGTCGCCGCAATGGATCTTTGACCGCGGCAGCTGGAACATGACAGCAACAAACAAGGCGTTTGCTTACGTTTTCAATACCTCCAACGAAGACCAGAAGGTTGCCCGCGTTTTGAGTGGTTGGCCGGCTGGGGCGACCGTCGTGGCTCCGTCGCTCGAGATTTTCGATGCTGCAACGAAGAAAGAGCTTGCACGGATGCAAGCGGTACTTTTTGCGTCTTGCATTGGCATGCAAGACAACAAGTACAACATCAACAACGAAGTCGTCACTCTGCTTATGGTGTACCTTACACGGTCCTACCCTATGCTAAAGGCGTTGTGTGCGTCGGCGCCACTTGTCAAAAGAATCGACACGGTGGCCAAGCAAGTTGGAGTCAACATCGAAGCCTTCGTCGCGTGGGGAACACTGCTGCGCAATCGCAAGGTTCAAGCAAGTGAAGCGGTATCGATGTCTACCATGAGTAGTTTTGCTGAGCAGCAGACTGACATGATACAAGTC